GTCCAGTCGGTCCAGTCAGTCCAGTCAGTCCAGTCACTGGTTCTACTTCACTGCTCTGTACCTGTGAAATTTAAATCCATGTAAAACTGTCTTCGTAGTTAACGCAGCCATCTGACCAGAAAGTGAGCAGAGCGTTCACACCAGTGGAGACACTGAACTGCAGTAGGACAATATGTGCAGTGGACTGGTGCACAGATGGTCGCAGTAATACAGTATTGATACAGTATTGATACAGTATCGGGTCCAGTACCTGTATTTGAATAATACATTGGGCCTGCTGCCTTAGGCAGAGAGTATGTACTCCAGTCAGTACTACAGCACACAGGATGTTGTGATGTGGTGCAGAGAAGAACAGTACTGTTGTCATGGGGTGGTTACAGCAGGAACCCTGGGACAGTAGAACCGATCCACAGACAGATGCTGCTCTCTGCTGAAGGATGACAGACCTGATCCAGGACCAGAACTTCTCTGACAGATGGTGGTACCAGTCCCCTGGTCCACACACCAGAGACTGAGAAACACAGCAGAGCATAATAACTGTGATGTTCAGTGTCCACAAGGAGGACGTGACAAACAAACAAAACACACACACACACACACCGACACACACACAGCTGTGGTGAATCTCCATACAAAGGAAACAAACTGAATATTAATGTCATAAATGTTGTTATTGTCTACAGTTTAAAATTCAACACTTCACCAAGACGCTACTACACACATTTGTTGTTCTCTACTGCCCTCCAGTGTTGTAAATGTAGAACTCCAGAGTGGAAACTAATATAATAATATTGAAAAATAGAAGTCTTATATTTGGTAGTTGGTATTGGGTTCTAGATATAAATACATTATCAAAATATTTTTGAACATTTTACTTTTACTAGGGATTTTTTTAATTAAATTGATTTGATTAATTGTGAAGTTATAGAGAAACATAATGTGAAACATGACTGTGTGTCTTTATGTCAGTTAACTCACAGTCAGTTAACTCACGGTCAGTTAACTCACGGTCAGTTAACTCATTGGTCAGTTAACTCATTGGTCAGTTAACTCATTGATCCAGCTCTGGTCATTTTTATCGTCTCTTCCTGCGTCACCTGAGATAAAAACCTGATAACGAGACGTCTTTAACTTCACCAAACTCAAGGTCCTTTTAAAGTGCAATGACCCAACACACACTCACACTCACAGCAGTGGGAACTAATGTCTTTCCTGAGGACTTAGCAACGGTGTAGGCTGCAGCGTGTGTGTGTTTGTTTATTTATTGGAGTTAGTTTTACATAAATCAGAATAAAATAATATTTCAACCATATGTGTTTTTCTGCTCTGCTACAATAAAAGGTTTGTTTGCGTGGTTGACAGCGGAGGTAAGAGGCAGCGCCACCTCGGGGTGCAATGATTTCCTCCTGCACCACAGGCTGATCCAGGCCTCAGGTGAACACAGCACCCTCTTGCGGCTATATGTGATTCTCCAGCAATCCATTTGCATCGTTCCGTTTCATTCATGAATTCGTGAGCCTAACTCAGGTGTTACTAACAGAACAGATTAGAGAGATGACACCGGGTAATTGGAGCTAATAAAGGTATTTACAGAGTGTGTATCTTAGCTAATACACACAGTCATCAGTGTAAACACACCGAGCAAACAGAAGGGATGAGGATAACATGTATTTTATTGACCAAATACCACAAAAGTACGTGTTTTTTTTTCTGTATTTCAATATGATATTTGAAAAAAATTGAATTGATGAAAATCTTTAACAGCTCTGAGCCTCTGTCTGTTTCTCATTTGTGTAGCTACCGGCTGCCACCTAGTGGAATAATATTGAATTATTCTGCCTGTCACTGTGACACAGACGGATGAAGACAGTATTTTGCAGTAAATATATAAGTTGTTAAATCAGAATTCCACAGGTTTGGGGTAAAAGTCAGTGAAATAATCGATTGATCACAAACACCGTGACCAGATCGCTGAGGGAAAAAATTGCTGCCCCGTGTGAGGCTCGAACTCACGACCTTCAAATTATGAGACTGACGCGCTGCCTACTGCGCCAACGAGGCCCTTGAGAGTTCGTGTGCGCGCGCGCCCGTGTGTGCGGGGGGGGGGGGGGGGTCGCCTCCCGATTCTTCGTATACTTGTATTTCTGTGGACATTGAATATATATATGAACGTTCTTCTTGTTCTCAGTGTGTGACAGGAAGATTGTTCACAATTAATCACGATTGATTGTGAAAAATCAACATTTGTAAATATGACAAGGAATGCTTGTTTTTAAATGTATTGCTGGAACAGAAAGACTCCATGGATGTAAGAGAGTTTCACCTGCTGTGACTGATCCAAATGCTGGAATTATTTTATTTTTGGATTAGGGTTCAGAATAATAAGAGTGGTTTAAATTGACTTTTCTAATAAATAATTTGATGATATTTATCTTTATATGGTTTGTTGAATGACCTGTTTATTTGTTTATTATTGGACTGTTTACCTCAGTGTGAAGTCTGACTCGTGCAGTTCATCTCCACTGGTACTGTTTATGTGTCTGTGTCACATTCTCTCCAGGCGACTGCCTCACAATTTCCTGTCCTGGGTGTGGGGTGGGGGGCGTGTGTGTGTGTGTGTTCTTTATTAAACCCTGTAAACCAGAGTGGAACATGGACTGAAGAAGGTCACACTAACACTTCACCCATGGAACATGGACTGAAGAAGGTCACACTTCACCCTCTGTCTGTGGGAGGCCAGAGTCAGTGGACGTCAGTACAGGACGGTGGCGACGCCATGATAATGATCATTATTGGGTGTTTGTCACCTGTGTGTGTATCAAACCTGTCTTTGGCTACCTTTGGTCCGTGACTCAAGATGTTTGGTAACAAACATGTTTAGTAACAAAGGTCATGAAGGTCAAGCTGCAGTTACAGGCTGTTGATGATCATCCTCTGCTTTTCTACATGTTGCAAAAACCACTCAAGTATATGAATATACTGTATGTACACAGTACACCCACCTTGAATATTTGCATTGTACTGTATATCTGATGAAGGGCAACGAGAAAGATATATTAAGTCTACATTAACAGAATAAAGGACTTTTCATTTGGGTTTATCTGTATTATTATTATTATTATTAATTTATTATTATTATTATAGTATTTTTGTTACGTTACAGTATTCACGGTTACCAGTATCACTTCACTGCTGTTCGTTCTCATCTCCTCGTTTTGTAATTTTGCGTGAGTTTTTTTCGATCTGATGCAAATTCTAGATGACATGGATCTATAACCATTCTGTCGTGCCTTGGAAAACGTCGTGGACGCGCATCTCAGCTGGGCTCGCCGCAGAGATCCTCCTGCTGCCTCCGCTCCCACGATTCATCCAGAGGATGGTGCTGACAGCCAGAGGCGGCGGGCGTCTAGTTTTACATGATTGAATCAATGACAGGACCAGGTGAGAGCAGCACAGCACGGCACGGCTCAGGAGCAGCACGGACAGGTGAGAGCAGCACAGCACGGCACGGCACGGCTCAGGAGCAGCAACAGCCTCCCGTTCACCGAGGAGTTCGTTCGTCACCGCCGAGGGGCCGAGGACGACGCTAGCAGCTTTACTGATGGAATCCCGGGTCCATGCTAGACGAAGAAACCGACAGGGTGGACTCGTTATAAATAATTAAAATACATAAATAAATAACCAACACAACCCTTTGCTGCTGACATAAGAAGAAACATGCATCTGCATCAGGTGCTGACGGGAGCTGTGAACCCCGGAGACTGCTGCTACTCAGTGGGGAGCGTCAACGACATTTCCTTCACGGTGAGAGGCTGTATTTTGGTGTTATTTATCTCCGGTGACTGAAATTGGAGCTAGCGCTTGACTAGCTGGACAGTTAGCAGAAACCTAGCTAGTCGAGCTAACGCTCCATTGGCTGTGAACAGTAAAGGCTAAAGGGCTAACGTGCTAACCCTACTGCCGCACCGAAGGTCCACTGACAGCCAGTGTCTTATTTAAAGCCTGGCTTCACTCCCAGTGGCAGTCAGACATTACCGAACCAGTCACCGGGGCTAAGTGTTCATCTCATCTGTCTTTTACCGTATCGTTGTATCAGGTTATATTAACGCTAGCTACCCAAATGACCTTTAGCTACTCCGAATTACTGCAAGGGAATCCCTTTGCGCAGTTACAACAATACTGTGGGATATTTGCGAAGGGCCACACGTTTCGGTGACATTTTTCAGCACATACGGCATCTGACTGCAAACAAGGGCTTTTAGGGGGAGAATAAATGGGGGCGTCATATTGTGAATCCCACTGTGGTTTTTGAGATTTTAGATCGCTGCAAATTAGCGTTAAATCCTCTTGGATTATTAGCCTCCTGTCATCCCAGCATCAGATGCGCCAGGCGTGACGTAAAGAGCCATATAAGGAGATAATGTCCCAGTCAGCGTTAGTCCGACATGTAACGTGATATTTCCTGGTAAATCCAGACCACATGGTGAACCAGCGGTTAGTGCTGTTGCCTCACAGCAATAAGGTCACTCAGTCACTTTTATATATACTTGTCAGGTTCCGTTCTTTGTGGTCTGCACCAGTTCTTGTTCCCCTCTGCATTGAGATGATACAGCAGTAATAAGACAATAACCATATCTGACGAATCAAAAACTAGATCTTTGACCCTCATCTGCTTCATTAGCCCTTTTTCAATCCACTTCTGGCAGCAGCAGTTTTCCTCCTGTGCGTCCAGAAATGTTCTTTTCTGGACTTCAGATTGACCTTCATCGACTAACTTCTTGATTGTGTCAGGTCCCATTAAAGATAACATGTACTCTTACATGCATTGATTGTTCTCACAGACCTAATCAGAAGAAGACCAGCTTTCTGTGATCACCACAGATTAGAGTCCACCTGTGAATATCATTCAGGATAGTAGTACTACAGTGACAGTCTGAACTCATCTGTCTCTCTCTTTCTGTCTTTACAACCGTCATTGTCTTCTGTGCCGCCCTCACATACTTTTCTGCCACTGCTGACTTCCTCTCCTGATACTCTGTCACATTTTAACATAGTAAACAAACTCTACCCTTCCTGAAAGTACTAGTACTCTGTCAGGACATGAAATTAACCTCCTTCTCTTTGACTTCCATGTTGTGTCTTAGTCTTGCATTAAAAAACGATTTAATATTCCTTGATAATTTATCGGCGTACCAATAGTTTCTCACACCTCTAACAGTTATGATGGCAATTTGTTTGTCTGTGTTTATGCTTGTGTGTGTGCTGGGGTTAAGTTGGCTTTTGCCCCATAGAGAGAGGCTCACACTGTAGTCAAACTGCTGAAGCAGAGGAAACAGGAAGTCAGACTTGTCCTGACAACCACATATTTGACCATTCCTAGAGTTTAACTCTGAATTTTTTTTTAATGTTATTTTGTTTTATTTTGCGCTGATAAAAGTCTTTAAAGAGAACAGAAGCAGTTAAAACTGAACAGACAAACCTTCACCATCTGTCTCTGCTTTAAAACAACAACACTGCAGAATTCATCAGTGTACAGCCTGGTCTGATGGTTCAGGTCCAGGTCAGTGTCTCCTCCTGCAGAGATGGATGAGAACAGGTCTTTAAAAATACACTTTTATCATTATGTCATTATAATATCTTTATGCCCATTACATCATTTAATGGGAATACAAACACGAGTGTGCTAGCTGGTAGATTACCTCAGGTGCCCACTACATTGCTGGGTCATATCAGATCAACAGCCTCTGACTGGCTGAGGCCGGTCTTGAAGGCTGCCACAGGGCATCGGTTTCTGTGCCTGGTGTTTCTTTCTGTGTCTGATGGCTACAATGTCCGAGGCAGTTACAGTCACACCAGCTGCACTCCCCCTATGGGTATGTTCACAATGTGAACCAGTAGAGGTTTAGTCCGGGTTTTGATTCCCAGAGGAACCACATATGCCTGTCTGTGTCAGTTGACGGTTCACTCAAAGTTTATTCACTGTGAACCATAGGCCTGTTTAATTGAACACAATGCTGATGTACAGTCAGGAATTGAAGAAAGCCAGACATCGGGGGAGCTGGGGTTGGATGACACTTTGACATCTCGTTCTATCTGTTGACCAACTCTTTCAACTATCTGTTGTTTCGTCCAGTATTTGTGTTTATTTATATTTGTGATGAATCACCCTGCTCCGGCACAGAAGTCAGAAGTCATGTTCCGTTGTGCAATAGTTGGACCACATGTGACACGATGACAATGTTCAGACTGAGGTGGCTTTGACCAAAACACCGGTTATGTATAAGATTTACAAGCACTGATGAAAGTGGCCGGGTCGTTTCATCTACGATTTACAAGAACGTTATTTTCAGGTGCTTTCACTGTCGCAGCGAAATGAAACACGACGGGCCGTCGTATTACTGTGGACCAAAAACAAAATGACTCCCCCTGAAAGACACACACACAGGAGGAAACCACAGCGTGGACTTCAGTTGTTACGACACAGTAACTGCTGCAGTTGGTTTTTTAAAAGGTCAAGGCAGGAAACATCCAAACGGTTTGTTCTGCAGGAGCAGCGCTGGTCTGCTGTATCAATTATTGACAGCAACCAGAGAGGAGCAGATCAGGGTTTTCTGACTGTTATGTAGCCTGTGTCCAGTGGCTGCCCAGACTGCAGTCCTGCTGCAGAGACCAGGACAGTGCTGCCGTTGTCCTCTGACTGATAACACTGTCCTGAAGCGTCATGTTGTCCAGGTGTGTCAGGTGACCAAGCCTTAGATCCACTCACGTTCACTGTTTGTGTTGATACAGCTAAACAAACATGATCAGACGTGACAATGTTCAACCTCAGCTGACGTGACTCGGAGCCTGGTCACATGATCGTGTTTGGATTTAATGAGTGGAGAAGTGAATCTGTCACTGTGTTCCTCTTAGCCAGTTTCACTATCACAGCACAAAACTGCACACACGTGTGTATGTATATATATGTATATATACATATACATATATATACATACATATACCATATGTACACATACTGTATATGCACACACATAAATAGAAACATATATACATGTGATATATTATATATGACTAAATTCCTATAATTCCATTTGAACGTGTTTGTGTTTCCAGGCGTACGGCTCCGGCTGTGACGTGGTGATCTTGGCCAGTGATTTTGACTGTGTGCAGATCATCCCTGGAGCTCAGAATGGGAACATACAGGTGGGCTGTGTGGAGTGCTCCCACCAGCTTGGCAGGGTGAGTGCATTCCCACTCCTCACTCCTCACACCTACAAACACTTTATGGCAGGGTGAGTGCATTCCCACTCCTCACACCTACAAACACTTTATTTCTTCTTCTTCTTCTGGTGTTCAGCCACAGCCTGCTGCTCCTGTTCAACTTGTTGTTTTTTTTGCAGATCGCTGCGTCCTACGGAAACACAGTCTGCATCTTTGAACCCCTCTCCACCAAACTAAACACACGGCACAAGGTGAGAATGAGCGCTGCACTTTGGACGCGCTGCCGACCACCAGGCGGCGTCTGAACGTCCCACATGTGCGTCATTAACATTGCATGGTTTGTGTCGCTCTTCTGTCACTAACAGCAGCTTAACTATCAGTGGCAAAAGACAGGGCAGTTCTTCCTGGATGCCATCACCTACAACCTGGCCTGGGACCCTCAAGGTACAGCTGAGCTTTCTGTGTCTTAACACCACTGACCGGTTTAATGAGTAGAGTTCACACTTAGCTGCAGCGCCCCCTAGCCCCCCACACCTCCCCTCTGAGTTTGTATGAAATGTAGTGTGTTATGTAGGTGTGTGCGTGCGGCCTACTTTATCTTCTCAGTGGCAGATGGAGAGGACTGAGGTGGTGCTTGTGTGTCCTCAGGGAACCGTATCCTAGCAGCCACGGAGAGGCTCCAGCTCTGGGCTCCTCCGCTGGCAGATGCCCTGCTGGAGGAGGAGGATGGGCAGGCCGCTGAGGAGAAGCCCCACCCTGTCCTCAGTGACTGGAACTGTGTCTGGCAGTGCAAGTAGGTTGTCAAAGCAAAACACAGTGGAGTTTTGGATTTAAAAGGAAGTGAAAGCTAAAAAAATTTAAAAAATCATTCTCGCAGATGAATTAGAAACGTGCTGGTGACGTCAGGGGAGTTTTAAAATTTCAGTTCATTCTGTTACCGCTTTCCTACTGGAACATGTGAAACCACTCTTTAAAAGATCATGAATTTTCATCTTTTTTAACCCATGACCTCTGACAGGAAGTACAGGGCCACGAACCACAGGAAGGAACCAAAGAAGGACTGTGTTTATTTAGTTTTTATTGTTTCTTTATTTTTCATGAATTAATGTATTTTTTGTGTTTCTGTCTTCTCATTTCATTGTGTTATTAATAGTTTACTGCTGTTCAGTTGTGTTGAGGAGAGGGTGTTAATACAAGACCAGGGCAATAATGGCTGTTCTGTTCTGTTCTATTCTATGTAAAACAACTGGAGGCTACACACACAGTCCCTAATGCAGTGGTTTCCATCGGTTTCCCCCCTTTTTTCCCCCCCCCCCCCCCCCCATCGACACATTCACAGCTATTGCTTCAAAACTCCACTGAACGTCATCAAAATTACGAATTATAATAATTTGATCGACTCAGTGTCACTGCGGTAACTCCGCGTCCCCCACTTTGGGAACCACTGCTTCATTGAAAGGCTGTGTGCGTCATTGTTGTTGTTGGAGCCCGTGCTGAAGCCTGTGTTTACGACCCGACATTTGATACTCGCTGTGTAATTGTCATCTGATGACACGTGTCCAGGAAAGTCATTACACGGAGGACAACAGCAGGACAACAGCTGCTGCTACTACAGTTGTTTGTGTTTCTGTTCCTCCAGAACCGCTTCGTCTGTCCACATCGCTAAGTGGTCTCCTGACGGCGAGTATTTTGCGACAGTGGGAAAGGTACGACATCACTGGAACTTTGGTTAAAAAGTTTCTCAACAGCTGCACCACCTGTGGTAACAGCATTTGTTCATCAACCTTCACAGGATGACTGTTTACTCAAAGTGTGGTACCCGACCACGGCCTGGCGTTCGGCCGTCGTTGTCCAGGACCCCTATGATAAAAAGCCCCCTAGTGTTCACTTCTCATTTGTTTACCTGGCTCATCCTCGCTCCGTCACTGGTATGTCGTGGAGGAAGACCAGCAAGTACATGACCAAGTAAGAACACCGTACTTCCTACTTTTTTGTAGGGGTGAGGGAGGTCGTGGGGGTTATTTCATATGAGAAGAAACTGGATGTTTTAAACATGAACCTTGTTTTTCCAGGGGTTCTGTGTGCAATGTGATGCTGACGTCCTGCGAGGACGGTGTGTGTCGGCTGTGGTCAGAGACCCTGCTCCCAGAGGACAGCCTGCTGGGGGGCCAGATTTCTGAGAACACACACTCTT